ATTAAGATTTGTCACAGGAACTATCTGTCTCTGAAAGGCAGCTTGGACAGGTGAAATCTCCATTTAGAGCTGCTACTGGTGTTAGTTCAAGGTTCTTGGTTTCATTTGATTTTTCATAAGCAATTACTTTCTATGAAGTGGTGTCTCTTATTGAAGGAAGTCAGGGAATTATCTAGTAATGTCGATTATAGCACAGGGGAAACAATCGCTTTGGAGAAGCAAGTTTCCAGCATCACAGTGGTGAGATAAAGATTTGTGCTGCCCTACCAAAAAGTATCTGCCCTTCTCCTCAACGACTCTTCTCTGTACTGTTGAAAATATAAATTAACTGTGAAGATGTATAGTGAACATAGTGTGGGACCCCTGCCCTCCCTCCCCACAACCTTATTTGAGTCAGGTGGCCTCAGGGAGCAGGTACAAAATCCTTAATCCTTGACATCAACGGATTCTCAATTGAAGCACCAGCTGGAGATTTTTCACCCACAGCTTTGGCCGGGGACACTTTCTTGTGTAGGAAAATCTGTGCATTGTATTGAGGTAAGCTGTTCTAGCAGATACATTAAGTAGATAAGAACCCTAGAATAGTAGCCATTTTAATAAAAATCTATGATCTGCCCAATGGTCCACCTACAGTATGTTTATTATACATTCAAGAATCAACCAATATTTAAAATAACATGAAACAATAAAAAAAGATACAATTAAAACCAGTAAAAACAAGAGCAGCAGCATTACAGGAAAAGTCTTGTGTCAAAGCACAGAATGTTCTGGTAAGGGGAAAGCTTCCTAAAATACCTGCCAGGAAATGTTGGGCAACAAATGAGCAGAACGTCATTTTACAATGTGAGGATTATGTCACTAGTTAAGTGAGCTGAAAGAAAGTGCTAAAAGTTATATTGATAAGTCTCAGGCAGGGAACAGAACAAAATAAACAGCAGATTTTTATAATATAACTTTTTTAAAGCTCATGGCATGTCTATGAGCAACAGTGACAGAGGAAAGCTTTTGTGAGATTACTTAACAGCAGTACTTTGTCCTGTCCTGCTCCAAATGAGAATGGAAAAACAGAGTGGCAGGGGCAATGGCCAGGCGTTGTAACAACATGACCTATGTTAATAAACAACAGATAATGACAGAGCGGATGCCAGTCTGGTCCAAGATGGTCTCTTGACCAAGGCAGAGCACCAAATGGTGTCCTGGTTGACTATGGGTACACTACAGTGCTTAAAGCCACCCTATTTATTTTGCCATGTGAAAATTCCTCAAACACCTCCCTTCTTCCAAGTAACACAAATACAACAGCAGATTAATTGCTTATCATTTGGTGCCCTTTTCATAATGTCCCGAATCTGCTACTTTAGCCTCGCTATGGCTTTTTTGGTATAGCTAGCCCTGACTGGGAAAGAAAAAAAGGTCTGGTATATCAGCTGATCAATCCTGGATATTCCTCTTGAGGTAATCCCCCTTTGGTGACACACCAGTAATGTTTCTGACTGGAGACTGGGATTCTATTAGAGACAAGGTGGTCAGGATTATTTTAACCCTTTTTAAAAAGGGGCCTCCAATATTTATTATCATTTTTGCTTGTTAAATTTCTATTGCCCCCTTTCCTCTGGTGAGCTCAAAGTAGCATACGTGGGTCTGCTCAGCCCTCTGTATCCCCACAACTCCCCTATCAGGCAGGTCAGGCTGATAAAAATGTGACTTGCCCAAGGTCACCCAGTGAGTTTCACCGCCAAGGATTTGGAAGTCCCCTTCCAACATTCTGACTGCACCACACAGTTTCTATACTGTGCTGCACTGTATTGTGTTGTATCTGTGGAATTAATCCATCTGTGCGAAGATGGCTGAGAACATATACTGATTAGTCAGAATATAGGGACTCCCCGACAGCCACCCCCATACCCAGTTATTGGGGCACTGCTGATATGGATTTGGGAAAGTTAGCCATCCCAAGCCATGGCTTCTAAGCACATTCTAAGTCTCGCCATCCCATTTCCTTATGAGGATGGAGTCAATGTGGAGACTAGGAAAGGTTTTTAGTTGTTGCTGTTTTTTACTGTAACTCCCAGTCCGAAAAACAAAACAAAACAAAACAAAAAAAACCTTTTGAATTCTCTAGAAATGAGAGCTGAGCCCAGAACCAGCCTTCAGATTTGAACAGATTGCATAGGGCATCCTTTCACCATACCATCATATAGTCCAAAAAGCAGGAGAGAAGGAGGGAAGAACCATTTCAAACTTCACTGTTTCCTATAGGCATACATAAGACTTTGAGACATGGAGGGAATTCTTCTTCCCATCCTTTCTGTTTACTTCTTTCCCAGTGCGATTATTTATTTTGTAACCCCTGTGGTCTGTGAAGGGGAGTTGCCAAAAATGCAGAATTAAAACAAGGAGTACAACAAAACACATTTCACAGATCTACATGCACAAGTTGGTGCTAGCATCGGTTGTGAATGTTCTAAGTGTGTGCACAGACAGTGACATAGTTGTTTTACCTGCTGTAAGCCGCCTTGGGTCCCCATGGAGAGAAAGGCGGCATATAAATAATTTAAATACATAAATACATAAATAAGGATCACACTGGAGTGTGGCAGAAAGGGTGGCTTCAGGAATGCAGACTTAAAAGGGACCTTCTAAAGCAGCCCTTTCGTTTGGCCCTGATCACACCAGCCCACTCTGAAAAAAAGAGCAGCCCTGCCACTGGACCAAAAAGGTCTAGACAAGGGATGGAAGAGGGTCAGGCTGGTTTGTGACCTGCAATACATGATCTGGTCACTAGTAAATTAGAGTGAACCAGATTGTACCATCAGAGTTCCTGAAATGCAATTTAAATGATTGTCTGATCGCATCCTAAGTAAGAGGTGAGTCACTTGTGGCCTTTTAGTTATTTTTGGACCTCACCATCTGTCACCCCTTGCCATTTGCTGTGTTGACTAGGGCTGATGGGCCTTGCAGTCCATCAACATCTGAAGGGGCACAGGTTGTCTGCTCCTATTCCAAATGCGATTATGATGGTGTCAACAACCTTTTACTTTAGCTGAGCTTGCGTATTGTTGTGATGAGTGAACATTTTCTAAAGTGTGCTACTATTATGACAAGTTACTAACAGTGGTTTCATTTGCAAATATTCTAAAGTGTGCTACTATTATAAGTTACTAACAGTGGTTTCATTTGCAAATTTCCAGTTAACAGCTAAATAAATAAATCCGCCCATCCTATTCCTTTTCTTTATTTTTGTTTCTCACCAATACAGACTTGAATGGCAAAACCAACATTGTCTGAGATAAGAATGAACCCAAGAGGTGTGTTACTGTGGAACCAATAGCTGTTTGGGAGGTGGAGTAAAAATGAAGAGGAATGACTGGACAGCTTCTTGCTACATGCCCAGAAACTCCTACAAGACAAAGCCACAAGGCACTGGAATTCCTTGGCACCTGAATGTTATTTAATCCTGTGATTTATTGCATGTCTGCTTTCATTGCTTGACTCCTCTCGTTTTCGGTCTGCCACTTTTTCACATGCAGATCTTCTGTCAATCAAAGCTCTTGCTCCTGAGGCACCAAAGGGGTGTGTTTTATTTAAGAAGAAAGCATAGTATTTGTCTACAATACAGTGCAATCAAACAAGGTCTTTTGCGTAGTGGATACAACAACAGATTGGGACTCAGGAGACTTGGGTTTGAATCCTCACTGAAATATGGCAACACACTGGGGGTGGTAATGGTAAAGCCACTCCTTAAATATCCCACATACCTTGAAAAGCCAATTAGGGGCACCATAAGTTGGACAAGACTTTGCAGCACTAACTCTAATTCCCATTTGCCCCAGCAAGCTTGACCAATGGTGAGGTACAAGGAAAGAGGTAGTTGATCAATATTTGGAAGACCGGTGTTTACCACTTGTGGCTTAAATAGATACTAAGCAAATCTACATTAATAGCTTCTCACATGGGAACAATTCAAATACTCTGTGTACATTATATGCAGTATATTGAGCAGAGGGCACAAGATTCTGTATATTGCAAAATCTTTAATCTGAAATAAAGTGTGTGCACTTAAATGGCTATGTAGTAGATACCTAGCTGTGTTAGTCTGTTGTAGAGGAAATAGTCATGTACACCTATAAAACTAACTAGTTTTTTTCCATACACTTTCATGTCTACATTTATTTAGATGATTTGAGTGGTTGTGTCTGTAGGTGGACTACAAAACACTTAAACAGCTGGGTCAATAGACCTTTCGACTATTGGTGTAAGCCACAGATGACCAAAGTGCAGATTTTGTTTCATTGCATCTCCCAACACTCCTCACCACTGGCTGATCAACTAGGACTGGTGGGAGTTACAATCCAACACATCTGAACTAGAGATGGGCCCAAACTAGCAAAATAGTGGTTTATCTTGGTTCGTGGTTTGCCTAAGTCCACAAACCATGAGGCACAAATTTCTGTTTTTTCCCCCCTGAAAAATTGCGAATAGGTTATTGGTTTGTCAGCCCTATAAAAGGGCCCTCCAGGCACCTAGAGACACCCAGTGCCCCCTCTCTCTTCCCAGTGCCCGTCACCTCCTCACCTTTTACCTCCATGACTGCTGCCATCTTGAAAGGCAGCCCGCGTACCTCTGCAAATATGTGTCCACCTCTCAGCTGTTCCAAAGGTGGGAAGAGGGGGAGGCTCAGCTAAGACAGCCAGTTTTTTTCCTTTTTTTAAGAGACAGCCACCAGGGTTAGGGTTCGGGTGCCTCAGTTGAGAGGCAGACCTATGTGCAGAGGCAACCCTGGGCTGCTTCTCAAAAAATATATATTTTTAAATGATTAAAAAAAGAGAGGCAGCTCCAGGGTTTTTGTTTGTTTTGTTTTGTTTTTGACAGTCATCAGCTCAAAATATACTGTGTATGTAGAGAGATATAGATGGCAGCAGCCTGGCTGGCTCCCGCAGGCTGGCTGCCTCTGCACATGCGCCGCCTCTCAGCTTTCTCAGCTTTTAAGATGGCAGCAGTGGTGGAGGAGGCAGCAACAGCAAAAGGTAGGGAGGTGACTGGGGGAGTGGGACGGGCCAGGGGCAGTGGGTGTCTAGGGTGGCTTTCAAAAAAATATATTTTTAAAAAATGAGACGAATCAACAACTTGAAAATGGCTAAAACTTCATCAGTTCATATTTGTCAGAGTCATCGTGTTCGACAAACACAAATTGACGAATTAGCAACAAATTAGCAATTTTTGATGAATTTTCTGGTTCTGTTTTTGCTTCGTGCCCATCTGTAATCTAAACAGCCACACTTTGTCCAGCTGTTGATATAAGCCCATTTCATCCTAATAATGATTCTACAAGCCATAGGGAAGGCTATAGCAATGTCAGGCTTATTTCTATATCTAGTTGCATGTACATCCCACAAAATCTGTGTAAATTAAGCTGTTATATGCAGCTTGTTGAATGTTAAGTAATGAGCTAATGACTATTACATTCTGCCATTATGGTCAGTTGTCATGTGCTGAGAGCTCATTTTGTAAATCTGTGTTTTGGACCCTGTAATTGATGTGTCACACAACAACACATTGGGTAGAAGCCTCAGTCTCCCATCTAAGTAATGGGAGTAATACTGACATATTTCAGAATTCTTGTGAGGACAAGAGACCATCTCCAAAGCATTGCATTAGCTGCAATTGATGGAAATGTGTATCGGCTGTCATGTCTGCTCTGTGCAGCTACCAGCATTGACTTCAGTGGTATTCAGATGTGAGTGAATCACAGACCAGAACTCTTGACACATCCCTCTATATCTTTTTAGCTTGATTATGTAGTTTCCTTTTCTCAGGCCTTAAAGACAACTTCCTTGTCCTGCTCCACAGATGAGACTGAAGAATCTACCTCAGCCTCTTTAAAGATTACAGATACCTTTGTCACAGGGCAATACCACAGGGGTTCTGTCGCATGTTTTGGGGTTTCAGCTGACTTTATCCCTTTGCTGAGACCTTTCTATAGCTTAGGGGGCAGTGGGAGATATTCAGGGTCCTGATTGCTCCTCACTGAATTTGCTGTTTCCACCTGTGGCCTACATAGGATTGAGTTTTCATACTTTGATTTACCTCAGACTTACTTGGCTCAGTGCAACTTACTGTAAACATGTCATGTTCTAGCTTACAGTCTCCTAACCTGACTGACTTCAGCCTGATTTGCCTTTAACCGAATCTGCTCACCTTTGCTCACCTCTTGCTTTGTTGTCCCCAAACCTTGACAGAACAGGATATTAACCATGTAATGTGTTACTGTTTACACTGAAGTCTACTTCATGTTTAAAGAAGCTTCATTTAATTTCACAGGACACTGACCATAGCTTTTCCTTACCATCTGAAAAGAACAGAGGTGTGCAGGGAAGGGCGGTGATCCCTGCGTTGTAGGGGTAAAACATCTTAGATCCTTAAGCAGTCACAGGTAGCTGTGTGTCTATAGGGTTGCCAACTAATTCATATTTTTTTGGTCTAAGCTGAGAAGGCTCTGCCAGGTAATAGGGTAAGAAGAAAGAATGAATAAACCACATAGCCTGTAATTCCACCCCCGCCCCCCAGCCATTCATGCCATTATTGTTAGGCAAGTAAATGGTTGTACACTTAGGAGTGGATAATGGTTGTCCCAATGAATGCTTTGGATTGCAAATCTCATAATCCCTCATTATCAGCCATGCAGGGTGTGAAGTCCCAAATATATGGAGGCCCAAGGCATCCAGAGCTGCTTCCCTGACCATGCATTGAACAAAGTAGCCACTGTCGACACACAAAGAGGCAGTAGAATCATTTCCATTTATTTCTCCTCACATTGGGCATGTCTACTCATCCATAGGTTCATCTCACCTCTGTGGGTAGGATATAACATTTAATCAACACATATCCATATAAATCCTGGTGTGTATAGCCCCATTAGCAGGCCATCTGATGAGGTCTGCAAGTTATCAGAATTCTGTCTCCTGTTCATGCATCAGCTGTATGAATCACTCAGTACTTAGAAATGATGTGGGGCCCACCATACACTGACTTTATCCATCTTTTACAATATACTGTAGGAACAACACTTCATTTTAGCTGCCCTGCAACAAAAATCTTACAGTGTGCAGCAATGTGAAAGAGGACCATAACTGTGATGGCAGAGATTTGCTCAGTCTACATGAACTTCTAATATGCAGTATCATGTTCCTACTTGCTAAGTCATCTTGAAATGGAGCGGGAAAGCTATGAGGTCGGAAGATGCTGGTCCAGAAAGGAAACTGGGTGTTCTGCAGGACTGTGGAAGGCAAGAGAGTGAAGATACTCGAAAGGCTCAAGTGTCTTAAAGCTCATTGACTCCTCTTTAGAAACAGCTGGATGTCAGGGAAAGGACTAGTGGAAGAACTATAAAGTCTGGGTGTGCTAAATGCAGAATTTTTGTGGGAGACAATGTAGAAGTTCACCTCTCACCCATGCTGTATATCAAGGTTCCTCAAACCTCTGACAAATGGACCACCTGCAATCTTGCCTCTGCCTGCTCCCTGTTGTGAAGGTGGCTAATCTATCGGACTGGACTAGTGGTGACCCACAGTCTGTCTACCTGGAAAAGGGCAGGCTTAGGTGGTCCAGCCCCAGCGCTTGCTTCCTATTACCCTTCACCTGCAGATGGTTGGGACGTGTAATTCCCATTGGCACAAGTGAAGTTAACAATATCAGTTCTTTTAAAATGGAGAGAAAGAGGCAGCAAATGCAATATTATCTTTGGTTTGGAAACCATTTTCTGGGCCAAAAAAAATTCAGTACTTCAGCAAGATTTGCTGTGTATTACTTTTGATATATAGCACAGGAAACTGTACATACGTTTCTTGTGCCATATAACAAAGATTTCTAAAAGGTCTAGTTGGTTACACTGCTTGATTTAGTTTGACCTTATTCTGGGCCTACTTTCTGTTTCTGTTACACCTCCTTCAGCTCTAGTAGGGTGGCAACAGCTGTGAGGGGCATATTACTATCAACCAAGCATTTACAGTGGCTGCAGAAGGGATCTCAGGTTTAGCTAAATAAACCTGCAAGAGTTATTTGGGGGAAAGGATGACAGAAAAAAAACCCTGTTTCTATAAATATATAAATGCATATATAAAAAGCAATGCCAATCACATTCCTTCGGATTTAACCCGGTCACCTTAGGGATTTAAAAATAAATTTCTCTCATGGATTGTTCCCTACTACCATAATGGGCCCAATTATACTATGTTTTATCCCTCCATTTCGGTATGCTTTATTTTATTTCAAAATATCACAAAAAGGGCATTTTGTGGCCAGTTGTACTTCAATTAGCTGATGCAGAAACAAAACCTCAAACCCCTAAAATGCTTCTAGTGTATTTGGAGGCTAAATGTGTAGTCCATAAAATCTCAGTTGTAGCTTTATGCTGCTACAATAATTACAAGGGAAGAGAAGATAACATACCAGGAATGATTTGCGGTCGACGATGGATGGCTTGCCAAATCTGCCAACACCCTACTAGTTTCTGCCAATCTGAACCATGACTCATTAAATTAAGAATAAAACAAAAGCCTTGCTGAATGAGACCAAAGCCCTACTTTTGCCACAGTTTTGCTTCCATGGAGTTCGTCAGATTTTTATAGGACACCCATCAACAGAGTGTGAGCACAGGAGCCCTCCATTCGCCCCAAGGACTGGTTTTCAGATGCATAGCACTCCAAGACTGGAGAAAATATATACAAATACTCCATTCTGGCTCAAGCTCTTTATACTAGGCTCAGAAAAATATGCATGAAGCAAATATTTCTGACATTAAAGACCTGGCAACATTGGATCCAATCACAATATCAGCTGAGAGGACAACAGAGAGGGCCAGCTGAGTGTGGTTCAGTTCTACTTGCCACATGCCACCGGAGTCAGCTTTCTGTTTAAGAGCATCCAGCAGTTAGGTTACGTTGTCAGTCTTTTAGATAGCAAATAAACAGGCAAGAACTATCTTATACAACCTGCTTTTATTTTCAAAGAAGTGGGAAAGAATCTACCTCTTAAGGGCATTAACTCACTTTATCTGTTAGCCCCAAACATCTTGATGAAGGTTCATTCATGTTTGGAGTAAGCTTTGAAGTCTTCAGAATTGGGACCAGCAAATGGGGAAAAATGCTTTATCAGAATGTCAGCTCCTCCTCTTCATCCTCAGACTCAGTTATAGTAGTAAGTGCATACTAGAAGATGGAAAAAGAAAGAGGGCAGAAAAAGCTAAATTAACTGTCATGATTACTGGGACTTATATCAAGACTACAAGCTTCTACTGTATTCAGTCAGTGCTTCACAGAAGTTCCTCACCCACCCACCGGACTTAATTAAGTTCAACACCTAGTACATTTCAAGTTCAACTACAGAAATAATGTTCTTTTTTAAAAAAACTTGACTATCTGCAAAGAACTAAAGCCATTTTATCATTATAGAATAAAAGGGCAGGAACCCTTTCACATTTTCTTTTTTTCTTTGAGGCAAAGGGATTTGGGCCTTTGGACAAGAATATTTAGTAGACTGCATTATTTTCATAATATTCAGTCTAGATACATTTTCACCGTATACAGTGGGGTCTTGACTTGAGAACTTAATCCGTATTGGAAGGCGGTTCTCAAGTCAAAAAGTTCTCAGGTCAAATCTGCATTTCCCATAGGAATGCATTGAAAACCATTTGATCCGTATCTGCTCTTTTCCGTCCATAGAAACTAATGGGAAGCTGCTATTC